TGAATGTACTTAATACCACTGAACTGAATTGTACACTTAAAAATAAAGATGGTAAATTGTATGTTAAGTGTATTTTACCACAATAAAAAAATTGAAAAATAATCTCTACAAAATAGTAGCAATCCAAGTTCATCAGCATATTAAAACAATTATACCAACACGTGTGTGGAGTCTTCCCCATACCAACAAGCAGTTTTTGGACACAAGCAGTGTGTCCGAGAATTCAACTCAATTCTGACACTATCTACCCAAAGATAGAATCAGATTCTACAGGTAAAGGACACAGTCCCAAAAGACTGCCCCCCACTTCAGGCACCAGTTGCAACCCAACTTGTGAGCTGTACTTCTGACCAACTGGCTATAAATCAGAGATTCCCATGACCCCCTCCTCGGGTTCAATTAATTTGTTGGGATGGCTCACAAAACCTTAGAAAACCCATTTATTCACTAGATTACTGATTTATCACAAAGGATATTGAAGGATACAAATCAACAGCCAGATGAAGAGATCCATAGGGTGAGGTTCCAAACAAAGGAGCTTCTGTCCTCATGGAGCTTGGGGGAGAGCACAGTGGCAGATGAAATCGTTCTGGTTCCCCAACGTGGAAGCTCTCTGTAAAAGGGCTGACGAGCTGTCCTGTGGGGGGTTTATGGAGGCTTCACTATGTAGTCATGATTGACGGAGTCATTGACCATTGGCAACAGATTCAACCTTAAGCCCCCTTCCCCTCCTCAGAAATAGGGGGTAGAACTAAAAATTCCAGTCCTCTAACAAAATGGCTTACTCTCCTGGCAACCAGCCCCTACCATTGGGTGGGATCCAAAAATCACCTTCAATAACATAAACAAGAAATTTCAAGGGTTTGGGGAGCTGTGAGCCGGGAACTGTGGACGAAGACCACATACATATGAGAAATATATTTTGGCCATCTGAATGACCAAATATATATTTCTTATATATCACAAACGATATTCAGCAATAAAAAGGAATCATCAATGGATGCATGCTATAGCATAGATGAATCTCAAAATCTTTCTTCTCAGTGAAAGAAGCCAAGATTACATACTGTATGATTCCGTTTATATGAAGTATCCAGAAAAGGTAAAGCTATAAAGACAGAAAGTAGAGTAACAGTTGCCTGTGATGGGAGTAGGAAGTACAATGGGACTTAACAGTAAATGTTCAGGAAATGTATTGGGATGATGAACATATTCTAAAACTGATCCATGGCGGTGGTTGCACAACTTGGTAAATTTAATTTAAGAAATCATTGAATCATTTGAAAAGCGTGCATTACATGATACACAAAATATGACCCAATAGAGTTATTTTAAAAATAAATAATGTTGACATGAACACTATTGTACATGCCTTTTTGTGAATATTCCTAAATGTGGAATTGTTGGGTCCTAGGAGAGGCATGTGTTTAGATTTAGTAGATAGTGCCAAATAGTTTTCCGAAGTTTTTATACCAATTTACACTCCTGGTAGCAATATCTGAGAGTTCCAATTTCTCCACTCCCTTGCCAAAGTTTGGAATTCTTAGTTTTTTAATTTTAGTCATTGTCAATTCTCTTTATATAATAATCATTTATTTTTTTGCATACACACGTGTGTATTATACACATTTCAACTATTTTTCCTTTGTACTCATTTTACTTACCATATTGTTTATGTTTTTGTTTGTTGGTTTTTTTCCCCAACATTTTTTATTGTGGTAAAATATACGTAACATAAAATTTACCAATTTAACCATTTTTAGGTGTGCAGTTCACTGGTATTAAGTACATTCACATTATTGTGCAACCATCATCAACATCCAGAATGTTTTCATTTTTCCAAACTGAAACTCTCTACCCCTTAAACAAAAAATTCCTTTCCCACCTGCCCCCAGACCCTTGGTAACCACCACTCTACCTTCTTTCTCTGTGAATTTGACTACTCTAGGTACCTCATATAAGTGGAATGATACAATATTTGTCTTTTGGTGTTTGGATTATTTCACTCATATCTTAATGTGCATAATGTCTTCAAGGTTCACCCATGTTGTAGTATGCGTCAGAATTTCATTCCTTTCTAAAGCTGATTAATATTCCATTGTATATATATAATACATTTTGTATATCCATTTGTCTGTCAATGGACATTTGGATTGTTTCCACCTTTTGGCCATTGGGAAAAATGCTTCTATGAACATGGGTGGAAAAATGTCTGGGATGCTGCTTTCAATTCATTTAGTTATACACCCAGAAGTAGAATCGCTGGATCATATGGTAATTCTATGTTTATTTTTTTGAGGCTCCACCATACTGCTTTCCACAGCAGCTGCACCATTTTACATTCCTCAGCAATACACAAAGTTTCCAATTTCTCTACATCCTCACCAACACTTGTTATTTTCTATTTTTATTCTTTTAATAATAGCTATCCTAATGGGTGTGAAGTGGTATTTCATTGTGGTTTTGACTTGCATTTCCCTAATTAGTGATGTTGACTATCTTTTCATATGCTATTTGTATCTCTTCCTTGTAGAAATGTCTATTCAAGTCCTTTGCCCATTTTTAAATTGATTTGTTTGGGTTTTGTTATTGTTGTTGTTGTTGAGTTGTAGGAGTCCTTAACATATTCCGGATATTAATCCTCTATCAGATACATGATTTGCAAATATTTTCTCCCATTCTGTGGGTTGCCTTTTAACTCTGTTGATAGTATCATTTGATACAAAGATGTTTCTAATTTGAAGAAGTCTGATTTATCTGTTTCTTTCTTTTCTTGGCTATGCTTTTGGTGTCACATACTTTTATTTTATGTAATGAAGCACATCATTCTCTTTGTGGTTTCTGCGACTCCATGTATAACTATGAAGGACTCTTCAATCTTACAATTAGATGAACATTATCTTTTAATAGTTTAGTTTAACTACATAATATATTTAAACAATGATGGATTTTCTTTTAAAATTACATTTTTGGAAACTATTTAAGGACATTGGAATATGTTAATGAGAGGAAAAGTTTATAAAAGAGTCTCTTCCACTTTTATTTTTAAAAACCTCCGGCTTAAACACAACACACATATAAGCAAGTTAGAAAGAAAAAGACCAAAATGTTCACATTGGCTCTCTCAAGGTTGAAAAATTACTAGTGATTTCTGTTAAACTCTAAAAATTTTTCTCATTTTCCAAATTTTTTTAAATGAGCATATATTGTATTTATTATCAGAAAACTACGAGGAATGTTGCAACTACAGAACCAGAAAAAGAAAACTTGTAATGTAGGGGACTCATAACTATAAAACTACCAGATTGATACATGGGCTTGAAAATTGAATTTTGAAAATACTGTAATATAGTATACAGTACACAGAAATAAAATAAGTAAAAAGAAAAATTTAGCTACATACTGAAAGAATCGGTAAAGAAATACAACATTTAAACAGTGTTTATCTCTGCGATAGTAACACAATACAAATTCTTGTTTAAATCTCGAAAATCATATATAGTTAAAATTTTTAAAATTGTTCAATTAATAAATGATCACTATTGGAAATATAGACAAGAATAACATCACCACTGATTCCTGCCCAAATGAAATTTTTTAATGACTGCACAGTATTCCATCCTGTGAATACTCCATCATACATTTAACCACGTCTTTTTTTGTTGTTTGTTTTTTTTTTTTTTTTGGTGAGGAATATTGGCCCTGAGCTAACATCTGTGCCAATCTTCCTCTATTTTATTTGTGGGACACCACCACAGCATGGCTTGAGGACTGGTGTGTAAGTCCTTGCCTGGATTCGAACCTGCCAACCCCGCACCTCCGAAGTGGAGTGCAGGAACTTAACCACTAAGCCACCAGGCTGGCCCCTTAACCATGTCTTTTAATGCTGAGATTTAAATTATTTTCAGTAACTCAAAAGTGTCAAGCAAATGTTATGATTTTTTAAAGAAATATTTCTTTACATTTGAGCATTTCTTTTTTTTTTTTTTATGAGGAAGATCGGCCCTGAGCTAACATCCAATGCCAATCCTCCTCTTTTTGCTGAGGAAGACTGGCCCTGAGCTAACATCCGTGCCCATCTTCCTCTACCTTATATGGGCCACCGCCACAGCATGGCTCAACAAGCAGTGCGTGGGCACACGCTGGGGATCCTAACCCGCAAACCCTGGGGCTGCTGCAGGAGAACGCTGGCACTTAACCGCTTGCCCCACCAGGCCAGCCCCCTCAGCATTTCTTTTTAAAATTCCCAATGACTTTAAAGCCAGCATCAACAAAGAGGAGGTGTCAAATCAATATTAGGACTGGGTTACTGATAAGCCAGGCGACTGGTTTATTGTCTTGTATGTTCACCTGTCATACAGTTGGATACAGCACTTTGGTTCTTTATCACATCCCCTCTTTCACTCTAACCCCCACCGAACCTCCTCATTTCTCCACCCCCCTCTCCCCCAAGAAATGTTATGAGGCTTTTCCAATCTAAAATTACTGCTCACTTATCATATAGCTGTGGAAAATACAGAAAAACAGAATATAGAATATTGAAATCACTGGCAGTTAAATCCAGTTAAACCCTCAGACCAGCATTGCTAATTTTTTAGTGTTTTCCCTTCTAGCCAATCTTTATAAGTTCCTCCACCAACCACCTCTCCCCTTCCCAGATCCCAGGGCTAAAATCAATGGGACAGATTTAGGATGGGTAGATGCCTTGTTCTCTCTTAGCTCTTTCGGAATTATAAAGTATAGTACCAGTTTAAAATTGAAAAAATAAACTAATAAAATCTGGATTTCAAGAAAACTCGGGTGGGAGGTGCCGGTGAATGGAGGATGAGTGGAAGGTGGATGAATCAGCCGTCTTCGAGAACCTGGGAAGGTGAGCAGAGTTGGAAACTTGATAGATGTAATAATTTATTGGCTCAGGGTTTGTCAGTCACTACAGCCCAACAAATGAGATTAGAGCTGAGTTGTAGGTGGGGGAGGGAGTGACGCAGCAAGCAATTTGCACCAAGAAAATCTAGCCAAGAGAGCTGCGTAATCATACTGCGGCACCTTTTTTTTCTGGCAGCAGCTGCTTGCAGAGGAAGTCTGCCCACTGTGGCTTTCTGCAGTCTCTGGCCCTTTCCTGCAAGACCGGTCACGGCGACCATCACTGCCCTCTGCACCCCAGCCCAGGCCACCGCTGCCGCAGTCCGGTTCTCATAGCCTCAGCACTGCCTTCATCCCGGCATCAGCCTTCACCGTCGCTCCCGCAGTTCGGCCGCTACAGCTCTTTCCACCTCTGCCCCAGCCACCGCCGCTTCTGATTTTCCGGTGAGTCTTCCCCTGCAGAGGTCAGGTCTCCTGATCTTGGCGGTAGCCACCTTAGGCTTGTACGGTCCTTTGAAAAATGGCCGAGTCAGCCGACCACAAGGAACTTTTAGAATCCAGTCAAGAAGAGGGTGGTAATAAGGTAATGATGGAGGGACCCGGGAAACAGCCAGAGCGCGGTGAAGATGCCGCAGCTGGGCCTGGAGAGGATGGGGAGAGCAGTGAAGAAGCCGCAGCTGGGCCTGGGGAAGAAAGGGAAAAAAGTGAAGATGCTGCTGTTGGGTCCGGGGAAGGCAGGGGAAAAGGTGAAGATACTGATGAAGACTCAGACCCAGACCGTCCAAAAGGACTTTTCGGTTATCTTTTAGACACAGACTTTGTGGAAAGTCTACCCGTGAAAGTTAAGTACCGTGTGTTAGCCCTCAAAAAGCTTCAAACTAGAGTGGCCAATCTAGAATCCAAATTCCTAAGGGAATTTCATGGCATTGAAAGAAAGTTTGCTGAAATGTATCAACCCTTATTGGAAAAAAGACGTCAGATTATCAATGCAATCTATGAACCTACAAAAGAGGAATGTGGATATAAATCAGACTCTGAGGATTATGATGATGAAGAGATGTATGAGGAAGAGGTGTATGGTAATGAGGAAAATCTTGTACATGATGACTACATGGATGAGGATGATGGTTACGAGGAAGATTATTATGATTATGCTGTTGAGGAGGAGGAGGATGACAACGACGATGATGATGGTTACATCGAGGCTACTGGAGAAGAGAATAAAGAAGAGGATCCTAAAGGAATTCCTGATTTTTGGCTGACAGTCTTAAAAAATGTTGACACACTCACTCCTTTGATTAAGAAATATGATGAGCCTATTCTGAAGCTCCTGACAGATATTAAAGTAAAGCTTTCAGATCCTGGTGAGCCTCTCAGTTTCACTCTAGAATTTCACTTCAAACCCAATGAATATTTCAAAAATGAGCTTTTGACAAAGACCTATGTGCTGAAGTCAAGGCTAGCATATTATGATCCCCATCCCTATAGAGGAACCGCAATTGAGTATTGCACAGGCTGCGAGATAGATTGGAATGAAGGAAAGGATGTCACTTTGAAGACCATCAAGAAGAAGCAGAAACACCGGATCTGGGGAACAATCCGAACTGTGACTGAAGATTTTCCCAAGGATTCATTCTTCAATTTCTTTACTCCTCACAGGATCAGCTCAAATGGAGAGGATGCGAATGATGATTTTTTACTTGGTCACAATTTACGTACTTACATAATCCCAAGATCAGTATTGTTTTTCTCAGGTGATGCACTAGAATCTCAGCAGGAGGGTGTAGTTAGGGAAGTTAATGATGCAATTTATGACAAAATTATTTATGATAATTGGATGGCTGCAATTGAGGAGGTTAAAGCCTGTTGCAAAAATCTTGAGGCAATAGTAGAAGACATTGATCGCTAAAGCAGAGTGTACATGGCCATGAAATTAACTGCTCTAGATCTAGTTACTCAAGATACAAGAAGTTAATTACAGTCTTGTGTGAATTTTTCTTGTAGCGTCAAACATGTGTCTCAATACTAATTCATTTGTGCTTGCATTTTAGTAATAGAATGCTTTTAAGAAATATAGACTGTAGTAAATGATTTAAGACATATTAATGTAGTGTTGTGTAGTTTAATCCTTCTGAAGTCCTTTTGTCATGTAGCTATTAATCTGTGGCTATAAATATTATCAGAACTGGTAAATGAGATCAATATTTATTGGGAAAGAAAATCTTAATGAACCAACCCAAGGATTTTGCTGCTGTTGTTTGTTTCTTGTATTTGTGTTTTCTTAGTCCTTTAGCTGTGAGTTTAATTTTGTTATGCCTGCTTCATTTTGCAGTAAAAATGCAGTAGAATTTAAAACTTGAATGCTTAAGAAGAATCCTGCACATGGTTAAGAATTGCAGGCAAAATCACGTTTATTGTTAATAAAAGCTTGTTCATAGGCTCTTGTATTTTATGTGACCATGATAAATGCTGAAACTTAGTCATATGAGGTTATCATTTATCAGTGAAGTGTTAATCACAGTATTTTCATAAGATTGCCACATACTGTTCTGTGTCATTGTGTAAACTGTAATTACAGTGTATGATTTCTCTTTTCCTATAGTACATTTAATCATTCAAAGTGATCACTTTACTATTTTGAAAAGATTTTTCATGTTCTTTCACTGCAAAATAAAATGAATAAAAATTTCAGTGTTTCATGTTTTACAACTGATCTTTTTTTCTGATTATAAAAGTAATAAGTTCATTGTAGGATATTTGGAAAATACTAAAAAAATAGATTAATTAAAACCAAAATCCATATACCCATTCCCCAAGGATGAGCACTGTTAATGTTATGATTTATTTTCTACTATTCTTTTTCTATGTGTTTATATATGCATGCAAATTTACTAACACTGTACTTAGATGTGGAAAGAAAGTGTATCTTTTTTTATTGTTTGTAATTTATCTAATTTTAATCCTGAGTCCACCTCCACCCCCAAAATTGCAGAGAAATAAAAATCTCAATTTTAATCAATCCAGTAAACTCATTGCTATTTAATAATTTAAACACTCTGTATAAATAACAGTCTTATGTGTGTTAGTCTATATTTCAGGTTTACTTGGTTTTCCACAACGTCACCTGGATGTATAGGGGCTTATATTGCTTTACGACATTGTGGGGGTGGAGTGCACTGACTGGAGACAATGGGATGTGGTTGGTCAGAGAGCTGGCTTTATCCCAGAGCTGACTTTGCCTTGCTCATGTGTGGAAATCAGGAGGTTTGGCTTCCCCCTGTGGCAGACTCTGTGAAGGTCACATCTATCCCTCTGGGACAACGGGGAACTTGTTAATCCCTTCCATGCTGTGAGAGAGCTGAGAGTGCCTAGGAAGTGCTAACTCTGTCTCGTTATTGCTGCCTATCCACTCTTCCATCCCAGGTGGTAGTGATGTGATCCCACAGAATTATAAAATGAAAGTGGAACAAAAGCGCCTCTACTCGTGACTTATTCTTCCACTATTGAACATGCCTCCTCCTTCAGATTTTGGCTGAATGAGGTAAGTTTGTAACACTGACTGCTTTACTTACCTTTGTCTCGTCTCTCTACAATTAACTGGGGAGGGAAGTGCGGGCTTTTTCTTTCCTCTTCCCGACTGGACAGGACCTTCCTCTAATATCGTATCTTTGTTCCAGGGACTATGGTAGATGCTCACTTGCTTTTCTCTGGGGTTGCAATAGTTGACAAGGTATAGGGAAACAGAGACAACTTACTGTTATAGGGAAACCTAAATCAGGAAGTAACTTCCAATGTATATTTGGTAAATGCAGACTTTTCACCACTGTTAATCTTGACCTTTATTAAATTCCTGATTCCCCCTAAACTCCTCCCCCTCTACACAAAGATTGGACCCCTTTTAATTGTGGTTACTGTTACTGTGTGTTAAAAAGTTAGGATTATGAATGTATCTTTCCTGCTATTTCACGGAGGAGGATCAGGCATCTTGAAGTTCCTTCTGTCCCCTTTCTCTTGCTTCCATAAGATAGAGCAATAAAGTTGCTTCTGGGTAAGAGCAGGCCAGACCTTTTTGCTGTATCTCTCGTGTCATTGGCCTCCAGCCAAAGACCACCCATATTTGAACAAGTTGGGTTTATTCATTATTGCGGTGAGAGAGAACACACATCATGTGGAACTGTGGCATGTTATCGGTAAGTGGATGTTAGAAAACATTGCAGGATTTTGGCTTTAGTTGCATGATTTGGTGGAGGGTCTAAGGAGGTGAGAGATTACTCTATATCATAGGGACAATTTTATGATTGGTAGCTCGCATCTTATCTATAGGGATAAGAGACTAGAACAAGGATAAGGCTGTAATTGGTAAAGAGGTTGTAGCCATTTATTTTAGCTAGAATGGCAGGGATGTTTGGTATTTTGTGAGTGGCATAGTGACCTTATTTTTGTCTGTGCTTAGACAAAATTAAGTGACCTTGCTCTGTCTCATTTTATTGTGGTCCAAGAGTAACCTTTTCAGAGGTTGGTATTCTATGAGATGATTTACATCCAATAGGAGAATAGCATGACCTAGCTGTGAGTACCGGGCTAGCTTCCTGATGTTAGAGTCTGTTTTTGATATTTCCTTCTCTTTCACTCCTTTTTAGAGATGCAGTTTGAGGCTGTCATCTCTCCCATAGCATGTGGTAGGGTGGGGGTTTATTTGACTTGCATTTAGGATAGTGTAAAGGCCCTTTTCGGTCTTGAGAGTAGGCCATCAGTTTCAGCCCACATACCAGAGAGGCCTGTACTAGGGTTTAGGGCCCAAGTGTAACTAAAAATAGAATTTTACCTTAATTTTTTTTGTAATTGCTCTTAAAAAATATATCATTCATATGGTCCTGGAGGGGTTGTTGAGGTGGCTGTTGGGCCTTGTTAGAATTTTGGTGTTCCTAAGGCATATACTGAAATATGTAAATACAGTAAAATTTCATTTTTGAGTATATAATAACTTATAGCATAAATCTTAAAAGCCAGGCTGCTTGGATTCAAATCTCAATTCTGTAACTTATAAGTTGGGTGACCTTGTGAAAGTTACTTTATGTGCCTCAGTTTTCATATCTGTAAAAATAAGGTAATAATTGTGCATCTACCTCATAGATTATTATGAAGACTGAATTGGTTTATACAAAGTGCTTAGAAATACGCATGGCACATAGTAAGTGCTATAAAGGTATATCTATATTTATTATTTTTATTGTTAAGTTTATATCTGTAAAATACTCTAAACTGGTATAAAATAAGGGTGTAGTAAATTCTTATTAAATTATTAATAATTGTATCCCTAGTTTGTTTCTAATTTACAAAAAGTTAAAGAAACATATTTTGCATTTAATAATAGAATATCCAAGATTTCTGCAAGTATTAAGAAGGGCGAAGTGGCAAGTTTAGCAGCAGTACTTAAGTTGCTGACAAGCCTAGTTAATGAAGAGGAAAGTATAGTGACTATGGTGTTACTTCCTCATTGCTGAGTACATTCATTAGCCTTGTAGCTGTATACACCAAGCTCAACACTCATCACAGGCCATTTGTTAACTGGCCAATAAATGCATCATTAAATTAAAATATTTGGAAACCAGAGAAAAACAGAATTCAGAAAATAAAAATCACATGCAATTATATATCATCCATAGGTACATAGCAGATTTGATTTTTCAGTTACCACACAGATGTGTGCAGCATGTAGCTGATTATTTTAAAGCAGAGAATCTTTTAAAAAGAAATATAAAGAATAACTTTACATGTAACACATTTTTGAAATGTATTTTCTATGAATTCTTTGCCAAATAATACAATTTTTCAAAATAAAAGAGAAAGGAATGTCCAAAATTAAACAGTCTCTTGTTTTTTGTTTTTTTTTTAACCACACTAATGATCCATTTGTTGATCTATTCTCAGAATCTTTTAAGACAATAAAAACTTTCCAGGTTGTGCAGCCAGAGGGTAACCACTACCCCCTATTCCGCACATGTACACACCTCCACACTCCTACTGACTCTGAGTGTGTGTGTGTGTGTTTGCGTGAGCTCACATGTGGAATGGGAGTGTGCGGGGGTGGGGAGTGTCACTCATCATAAAGGACCCCAGCCCTTGTAAACCTTCTCTCCCAGGGTGTATGTGAGCTTATGTTGTGTCAGGAGTGAGAGGGAAGATAGGGTTGATTCGTCATGGAGGCACCCTAGTGTAAATCTTCTCCTTGGCCATTGTGCACACGGGCGTGCCTGGGTCGTGTGTGTGCGCTGGTCAAAAGGAGTGGGTGAATCGTCTTTCAGGCCCTGGTGCTTTATGAAACCATATTCTATGTGTAAGGGTACGTGTGGCCCGTAAGAAGGAAGGCGATTCTGGCCGATGCCTACAGGGGTCGGGTGCCATAAGCGGCTTTGAAGGAGGTGGGGAGTGTAGGTGCATTTGCCCACATTTAGGTCGAGGTCAGCTTGTCTGCCTGCTAAAGTGAAGGTACCCAGAGGGAAGATAAGGATAGGTGGCAGCGTAGAGGTAGGATCCTGGCCTAGTTAGCTTTTGGTCTCAAGACACCGGGGGGAAAGATAAACTTAAGTGGGTGGTGAGAGGAGAGTGCCAGAAGCAATAATGTGGAAGGTTTTGGATGAGTTAAGCTTTGGAGTGACTCAAGTTTCAAATACCTGCAGAATAGATATCATCTTGGTTGATGAATTACAGTGGCACCTTGAGCCAAGGTCAGATTTGGAAGTCAAGTATATATAAATTCATGTATGTACGTCTATACAAAGAAGGTGTGTATATAAAAGGCGTGTTACTGGTTCTGACACTTACTGAGCACTTCCATATCAATACTCGCGTAGATGTATTTAGAAGAAGAAATCATTCCATATATGTTACTTATATAGTTGTAATTCACTGCCTTTGTAAAATAGAGAATCCATGTATTAATTTAAACTTCATACAAAAGTTTCTGTATTCGAGTGTATCACCTGGCCATGACAAAAAAGCTTTCCAAGAAGATTGGTGCTGAAATAAAAATTTCACAAGGCAAATATATGGAAATGATAAAAAGTGACTGTATTTTTTTTTTTATTTTACCACAATTTATTGCAGTAACATTGGTTTATAACATTGCAAAAATTTCAGGTGTACATCATTGTACTTCTATTTCTGCATGGACTACATCATGTTCACCACCAAAATACTAATTACAACCCATCACCACACACATGTACCGAATTATCCCATTTTATTAAATTTTCTATTTCACACTTAACATGTTCTCAGGCACTCTCATACACACACACACACGTGCGCGCACAAGACTGGATGATCCAGAGTGAGAGAAAGCTAATGATCAGTGAGATTTACAACAGGTGGAATCAATATGGAGTGCTTTATCAATTTGATATTTCTCCATCAGCTATCGAGGTGAAAGGAGATAAAAATTGATATTGTGTGTGTATGTGCATGCTCACATCTGTGCAGTTATGAGCATATTGTAATGCAGGATATGCCAGTTAGACAATAATCTTCGTTGTCCAGAATATTACCTAGGGTTTGCCAGGAATTCTATGGATAGGGGAAGAATGAGTGGTTTTTGATGAGTTTCCTTCCTCATTATGCTGAGGTACTTTTTATTTTATAGCTTAGAGGAATTGAAAAGGTGCTTTTACTTGCCAAGACCCATATTAACCAATTTAAGACATT